TGGACGAAACCAGGCGCAACGGCTTCGCCGGTGAAAGTATGTATATGGCCCTCCGTGGTGCGTCTCTGTGCCGGCTTCTGGTATATATCGGCGCCGGCCCGGGTGTCCCTACAGCATCCAGTTTGTGCCCAGTTTGTGGCGCCTCTTGACAGCGGCATTTCCGGGCCAGCGGGCCTAGCACCCCGGCGCCCCCCGGGTAGTCTGCCCGGCGCCGGCCGGGGCGGCTTGCGGGTGTCTGGCCCGTTTGCAGGGCCCGTTGCGGCGGGCCATGGAATCCACGTGCGGGCGTCCGGATCTTCCCCCTTTTGGCGGCTTTGTACTAACCGCAGGCGGCAGCAAGAAAGACAAGCGGCGGCAGCAGATCGCTGCGCGGCTCGGCAAGCTCGAGGCCGGGTTTGCCGACGGCAGCGCGTCGTACTACCGCGGGCTCCTTCACAACCTCCAGGCCACGCTCGCGGCCATCCAGCAGGGCACGCACGGCGAGTACGTGCGGCGCAAGGGCGCCTTGGAGCAGGTGCGCGACTACGAGCTCACGCGGCTCCGGCTCTGGGAGGAGTACCAGGTCACGCGCGCGGAGCACGAGTACGCGGCGGCCATGCACACGGCCACGGCCAACTACGACATGATGGTCAAGCTCTTGAAGGAGAAGTACTACGACAAGCTCCAGAGCCAGGCGCGGCGCCTCAAGGAGGACAAGCTCCTCTTGAACATGGTCAACGCCAGCCTGTGGGCCGCGCCGGGCGCGTACCCCGCGGCGGCGGCGTTGGGCCCCGCGGCGTCGCTCTTGGCGGACCGCCGCCCGCGCCGCAAGCGCGAGTACCCGGCGCGGCTCGCGGACAGCGCGCTCGACGAGCTCCTGGACCCGGGCTCCGCGCGGCTCGCGGCATCGGGACACGTGTCCGCGGGTTACACGTCCGGCCTGGTCAAGCGCCGCCGCCACTACGCCACGCGCTACTCGCTGAACGACGAGCACACAGGCAGCGTGGCCAGCGCGGGCGCGCCGCCGCCGGGCGCCGCCAGCGGCAACGACAGCAACCTCAGCGACAAGGACTACGACACCTTGAACCACTTGATCATGAACCCGCCGGACGGCGGCGTGCTGCGCGTGCTCCTGGAGCGCGAGCGGCCGGGCGGGCGCCCGCACACGCGCGGGGCGCACCGCCAGTTCGTGGGGGTGCAGGGGCTCCGCCCCGACGAGTTGAACGACGACCTCACGTTGCTCCGCAACGCGGTCAAGCGGGAGAAGTGAGCGGCCGTGCCGCGAGGGTGGCGCGGGTGCTAGCGTCTCGACGGCGCGGATCCCGGGTCGGGGCTCTAGGGTATATGTCCCTTGAGTGTAGCGCGGGCCCTTGGACTTCAAAATCCACCGAACGCGTGCTTGGGCCAGCCGGGTGTTCGGGCTTTCGGAGGCGGCCCCAGTGCTTGCAGACACTGGCTTTGGCCACTTGAATATAGGAGCCCAGAGACCCGCGCCTGTGTCTCAGGATGCGCCCCTCGAGGTCCCCGGGCTGGGATGCCCGCAAACTGGAGCGTCCCTGATTATTTAGATGCTGAGCCCTGGGATCTCGGGACTCGCTAAGGACCCTGCGCCCTTGGCCTCGGGAGTATGCCAGGACCCAGTGACCCGCATCGTGCAGTAGTTCGGGCCTCTGGGCTCTTGCTCTATGGGCCTTGGAATATACGAATCTGCAACTCCCCGAATCCAATTTCTGGGCCCGTGTTCCCCGGGTTCGAGCATCAGCACGGGCTCTGGGGTATTCGACTCAATGGCTCAGCATCCCGAGACCTTGAGCTTGCGAGTAATGGATGCTGTCTCCCTGGATGTTGGTCTCTCGCTCTATAGCTCCCCGGGAAAGGCAGCCCAGTACCCGGCGGTTTGGTGTCTCCTCAAACTAGTGAGTTAACAGCTTTGCTGCTTTGCTGCTTTGATTGGCTGCGGGTGTTTTCGGACTAGATCCGTCTCGACATGTTGAATGGCGGCTCCTCCGATTCCAGGCCATGGAGCCACTCCCGCCCTGGCTCTGCGTCATGCTTCTTGCTATCTGGGTCTTTTTGAACACCCTGTTACCACTTTCCGTGAATACACGCGCTGTTGTATGCTGCTCTACGAACCATCAGGATACTCATCGTCAAGTGGTGCGCTTGCAATATGTTAGAAAAGGTCCTTTGGTGTCATGAAAGGCAGTGACGAGCATACAGACGTGATGCTCAGATGACTTCAGCAGCGCTCCAAGATGCCTTTTGAAGAGTGCCAAAGTCCTCCCTCTCTGTGTGCCTTTAATTGCAAGCACATAGAGGATAGTCGCTTTTCGCAGGGTCTGTGCTGTGCTGTTTTCTAAATTACGGGTCTTCTTAAAGGCCTGCCGCTTTGCAACTCTGGCAGTATTTTACTGTATTGAAGATCTGTCGCTTGGGTGCCGATGAGCATGCTCCTTGACATATGCCGCTCTTTTTAGAAAAGCAAATTCTTCAAAGTGCTGTGTTCGTTGATGTACTGTGACAACTACGGATCAAAGCGTTAGTCTAAAGCACTTTGGTGGCCCCGAAGAAGCGTTGTCCTTGGCAAAATGCCAGCGTCCCGTTGTTGATCGATCATGGCGCTGAAGCATTGGAAGTCCGAATGTTGCTTTCAAAACAAGGTTTCATGACTCGAAGCCCGAGCTTCTTTTCCAACCCCACGCTGCTGATAACACCATCACGCTCAGCCGCAGCCAGTCCGCTCACTCCGCCCTTTTCACTCTTGGGCACTGCAGCCTGACTCTCCATCTGGATCTTCTAAAGACTGAAGCTTGCTTTGACGCACCAAAATGCTGGCTTTTCGGCAGGTTCCGGTTTGATATCGGGCATGGCTATCTCGCCAAAGCCCTTTTGAGGCTTGTGCTCTTATCTCGCGCTGCTTGGCAATTTTCATGTCCAAACGCCAGAACCGAAAGCCAAAGCGAATTGTGCCGTGCCCGCACACATTAAGACTCTGCGGCCCCGGTTTCTAGGCGCCCCCTCCAGCCGGGTTCTTTTCTAATTCCTACGAAGGTGTTGTTTATTAGACACCTGCGTGCAGGCACTACAACGTGGGCGCCGCTTTGTCGCCTGAAACGATCGGGCAAGCCGTCCACAGAAAAAAAAAAACCAACCTGGCATCCGAACTATACTAGGCCCGGCCTCGAAGATGCAGAAAGCACGTCTCTTACCAGGAAGTCTTTGTTACTTATGGCCGGGCGCGTGGCCAAGCGCGCCAGCTGTGGGAGCTCGTATTTTTTCCGTCTCAAAATTTCTCGCGAGGCTCGTCAACTCAGGCACTGTTTTCCCAAGCACCGCATCTTAGGAAACGGCAAGGCAAAGCACATCCCCGAAAGAGGACCCGAAGCCTTAATTAGCCGAGCTCTGTGCCTTTTTTTTAGCCAAGCTGCCGGCCACAAAACTTCCTTTCGTTCCCTTTCTTTGCTGCATCAATGATGGAAAGCACATCAGACGACAGCATGAGCCCCAGCTCGGGGTTCCAGGAATTCGAGGAGGAAGTCCCCCGCGTCCAGAACGAGCTGGTGTGGTCCAAAGCCAAACGCCAGGCGTCTTTTCAGCTTTCGCTCTTCAAACACAAACACCTGAAGCACGCCCATTTGCTACGAAGGACGCCTGTTTTGGCGTTTGTATTCTTGGTGTTGCTTTTGCTAGGGGGCATCGCCATACGAGCCACGAGAAGCAAGGACACCGACGGCGGCGACTTCCCCGACTTTTCCCACGACAATGCCGAGCGGTTGTCCCGCAAAAACTTGGCGTCGTCCCGGGACTTTCCCTTTGAAGTCGGATGCCGCGTTCCCGATACCGACGCTCCGCGGGCAAACGCCTCGTTTGTCATGCTAGCGAGAAACTCCGAAGTCGACGATGTGGTGAGTTCCATGAAGTCGATGGAAAGACACTTCAACCAGTGGTTCAACTACCCGTGGGTGTTCTTGAATGACGTGGAATTTGACGAGCACTTCAAGGAAGAGGTGCGCAAGCACACAAAAGCAGACGTGGAGTTTGGCCTCGTGCAGCCCGAGCACTGGAACTTCCCTGCCGACATCGACCGCGAGGAGCTCGACGAGTGGATCGAGAGCCAGGGCGACCGCACAATCATGTACGGAAACATGGAGTCCTACCACAAGATGTGCCGGTTCTACTCGGGCCATTTCTACGACCACCCGCTCGTGCGCAAGCGCGAGTGGTACTGGCGCGTCGAGCCGGACGTGAAGTTCTTTTGTGACTTGACCTATGATCCGTTCATTGAAATGGAGAAGAACAACAAGAAGTACGGCTTCACCGTGACCATCAAGGAGCTCTACTACACCGCACCCTCTTTGTTCAAGGCGACCAAGGCGTTCATCAAGGAGAACAACATCAAGGTGCAGTCCGCCTGGGACATTGTCGCCAAAAAGTACCCGACCTTGAGCGGCAAGAACGCCGACCAGTACGAGTCGTGGGAGGACCGCGCGGACTTGTATAAGCAGGTGGAGGACAACGTCAACCTCCGCCGGTTGCTAGAAAAAAAAAACAAGACGAACAAGGACCTCGAGAGCATCAAGGAGTTCCAGAACGTCCGCAACATATTCGAGAAGGCGACGCAAAAGCCGCAGTTGTTCGAGGACAGGGACTATGACGAGGAATACAACTTGTGCCACTTCTGGACCAACTTTGAGATTGCCAAGACCGAGGTTTTTCTCTCCCAGACATACCAGGACTACTTCAAGTACTTGGAGCAATCGGGGGGCTTCTACAAAGAGAGATGGGGCGACGCGCCGGTGCATTCCATAGCCGTGGCCATGATGCTTCCAAGCGAGCAATTGCATTATTTCCGGGACATTGGCTACATGCACTCGACGTTGGGCCATTGCCCCGGAAACGCCCCGGGTAAACAGCTCCCCTACCAATCCAATGGATACGAGGAAGACGCACTACCATGGCACAAGACTTTTGTGGGTGACGGTCCGGACGAGCCGGTGCGCAACGGCGTTGGCTGCCGGTGCGAGTGCCCGCTTTTGACCCGTGAGCTCGAGAATAGAAACTCCGTGTGCCTCAAGAACTTCGTCAAAGTCTTGTCCGACGGGTACAAGCCACAGGAGCCCATCGACGTGGATAAACTAGAAAGGGTGGCCGAGCGGAAGCTCACGAGGCAACTCCAGAAAGGAGGACGGATTGGCCTGGACAATTGAGTCACACAGCATCGGTAATGGACGGGTCTCGCTGGCTGAAGACATGCACACTCACACGTATTGAATACTCTAATGAATGTCTAGCCATCCGCATGCTACCTGCAACACCAGAGCCACTGCGGCCAAAGGAAACCCAGCACCGGGCAAACATGCGCCCCATCCAGCAAATACATCAAACCGGAAGAACGTGCTTCCTCACGTCCCACATCATACTCCACTCATATCTACATCTGTTCATGTTTCGAATCGATCGTAAATTCTAATATACACTGGATAACAGGAGCTAGTAATACAAAGCGGCGCCGCGGCCTCTTCTGATGATTTGGATGAAAAGAAGCACAGCAGCTTAACCTCCGAAACCATACAAGGTTCTGCCTTGTCTCTTCAAAGCATACACAACATCAAGAGAAGTAACGGTCTTTCTCTTGGCGTGCTCGGTGTAGGTGACAGCATCTCTGATGACGTTCTCCAAGAACGACTTCAAGACACCTCTGACCTCCTCGTAGATCAAAGCGGAAATACGCTTGACACCACCTCTTCTGGCCAATCTTCTGATGGCTGGCTTTGTGATACCTTGGATGTTGTCTCTCAAGATTTTTCTGTGACGCTTAGCGCCACCCTTTCCAAGACCTTTTCCACCTTTTCCTCTGCCGGACATGTTGTAATAATTATTTGTTGTTGATAATGAAAAAACCAGGAGATGGAGGCGGGCCACTTGTTATTTATATGGACATTGGTGTTTGCACCCACGCCAATGTGCAGGACACTAGCGTGCAGCGGGCTGCAGGAGCAAACGGGACCCAAACATGAGAACGTGAATTCCGAGGACCGCGGCCGCGACGAAGGCCCAAATGCTGGCGCGGTGCTCTAAAGCGTCTGTCCGCAGTGCTGAGAAATCCCACGGAAGTGCGTATATTGCAGCACGGCAGCGGGCGCGCTTCTGGCGTGCGTGTCGCGCATCACGCGCACGCGTAGTTTCTTTTCTCGTTGCGAAAAGTCGCCCGTTCGTCTCACGCACGCGAGGAGACTCGTCTTTCGACGCTTGCGCGCGCGCACGCACGCGTGTAGGTGTGATACTGTGGCCCGCGGCTTGTGCCTGGCTCTCTGTTGTCGTGGCATGGGAGTAACGCTGCGGCGCCCTCGACCGCGACCGCGAAAAGAAACAAACACGGGACGCTCGCACCAAGCACTCCGTATATAAGCCCAGGCCATCCGCCAGCCACAACATTTTTTTCATTCATTCAAAACATTAATCATGGCTAGAACCAAACAAACAGCAAGAAAGTCTACCGGTGGTAAGGCACCAAGAAAGCAGTTGGCCTCCAAGGCTGCCAGAAAGTCGGCCCCATCTACCGGTGGTGTCAAGAAGCCCCACAGATATAAGCCAGGTACCGTTGCCTTGAGAGAAATCAGAAGATTCCAAAAGTCCACGGAGCTTTTGATCAGAAAGTTGCCTTTCCAGAGATTGGTCAGAGAAATCGCCCAGGACTTCAAGACCGACTTGAGATTCCAGTCGTCCGCCATCGGTGCTTTGCAGGAGTCCGTCGAGGCCTACTTGGTGTCTTTGTTTGAGGACACCAACTTGTGTGCCATTCACGCCAAGAGAGTCACTATTCAAAAGAAGGACATCCAATTGGCTAGAAGATTGAGAGGTGAGAGATCTTAGGGATTTTACGGTAATATCTGGAATTTTATGTAAATTAGTGTACAATACACAACACGTGTTCAAAGTCCTGTCGTAGCGGCGTCTCGGTCCGTATGGGGCAGGCCCTGAGATAGAGAACTAATGGAGCCCCCGCCAGCCGACATGCACAAACGGCTGTTTGCCATGGTGTACGGGTGTGCGCCGGCTTCCGCGCAGCAAGCTAGCGTCGGTGCGCGTTTGCAATAGACATGGCGCTGGTGCATCACCTCTCTACTTCTCCCCTACATTGACTGCTAGTCTGAACAGCACTCAAAACCACTTCAACCAGGTGAGTACCCTTTATTCGGCCGCACACCGCAAGCTCTCGCCCTCTTTACTTTTCTTCTCGTCACCGCCTCTAGCCATGGAAGACATCCAGAACTCCGCCACCAACTACGTGGATCTTGCGGGCCAGTCGCCCATCCCGCCGGCCGTGGCCTCGGCGTCGCTTCTATATGTAGGCATGTCATCGCCCACGGCCATCGCGTCGAAAATCGGGTCTTCCGGCGGCTCGTCGCTGTTTTCCAAGTCGGCCACAATCACAAAACCAACACGCAGCACGTGTCTTTTATTTGGCGCCGCCAACGCTTTGGGCGGCTGGATCATTTATGACGGGGACGTGACCAACGGCGCCGGATTCACGTTTGCCTGGTCCGCCTTGTATTTAGTAGTCAATGGGCGGCCGTCCATGCGCAGCATGTTGCGAGGCCGCATGAGCCCCGTGGCGCTTTCTGTGTTGGCGCTCGGAAACGCGGGGATTTACGGCAAGCAGTTTTTCTGGCCCTCGGCACAGAGCGCCCTGTGAGCGGGGTCTGTTTTGGGGCTGCTGGCCGTGTTTGCGGAATGCACCGGCCGTGCTTCGGGGCGCCCGGCAAGACGGGACAGGCCCAAGTGGGATTTCTTGAAACAGCAGGCTTTGCATGCTTTGGGCCGTCGGCCGGTTTCGCTCGGGCCTCCCGCGACAGGTCTGGAACACACGCCCCGAACAAGCGGGGTTTCTGTATTCTAAGCGTCTATACAAACAGGGCGTCCGCCACGCGTCACAGCCACGCCATCGGTAGGAAGCCGTTGCTCTCGGCGTAGTCCACTATCTCCGCCTCGTCGTACAACTCAATAAACTGCTGGTCCATGGGCCGCTCCTTCGGCGCGGCAAACATGCGGTACTCGTCGAAGATGATGGTGAGCGACCAGCCCTGGAGCCGGCGGAGCACGCCCACGAGACAGCCCGTGCGATGCTTGCCGCGATTGCAGTGGATCAATATGGGCTGGTTTTCCGGGTTGATGACGATCTGCACGGCCTGGGTGATGAGCTCGCTGCTGATTTTCACAAACGGCTCCTTGTTGCCCAGCATGCCGAGCTGGAAGAGCCGGATGCCCTCCTTTTCAAAGAAGTCCTGCTGTGCCTGCGGGTACTCCTCGGGAATCAAGCATAGCACGGCCTTGAGCTGCAATTTCTTGAGAAAGCCGAAGTTGTGGGTCTGGGGGAACGACAGCCGGTATACGCGGTTGATCACCGGCGCAAAGTTCTCGGGCGGAGTTAGCGTCCCGCTGCCGGCAGCCACCTCGTTGCTGGCGTACATCTGCGCATGCTTATCTCCGGCGTCGGCGTCGAACTTGTCGTCCGCATCTTCCTCGTACGTCAACCCTTCCTCCTCGGTGGTCGTGCCGGGGCCGTCCTCGATCTTGATCCGGGTCAACCGGGATCGTAGCTGGGTGATTCCACCTGCTGGAAAAGGCGGCACGTGACCTGCGTCGTCGGCCCTGGCGCCGGCCCGGCCTGTGTGTCCCGGCAGCGATAGGCTGCGTTCCGGCGGTGTCTGGATGTCCTCGTCCATCTGGAACGGGTCCTCGGAAAAGTCCGCCATCGTTGTGTGGAATTTGAGCTGTTTCAACGATTAGAGGTCTGTCTTTGCAAAGAAGGTGCGTCGGCTGGGCGGGCTTTTCGGGATACGGGCTGCGGGGCTTCGGGTGCTGAAACAAGCGGTCTCAATACTAGCGGGGGCCTGTTCTCAGAAAGTCGGATGGGGACAGTCAAGCGCAAAGCGGGCGGCCCAAAACGCTTATGCCAGATTTGGGTCTGCCCGGTGAGCTGAGACTTGGTGAGCGACGCGCCATGTGCACACCACGCACTGTGTGCCGGACCGGCCTTGCAAAGCACGTCGGACCTGGGATGGATTCGGGGGTGTTTGTGTTTGCTGGAGGGAGTGCATTGGAAGAAAACGTTGCTGGGTGTCTGGCTGATTTGGCCTGGTCAAAAGAAAATGCTGGTGGCTGATTCTTGCCGCACCGGCTAGACAAGCGGATGCGCATACACTAGCGCATGAGCCTCCTAATAGATGTATGTTCTGTGTCAGCAGGTGGCTGGGTTTCGCCCCGAAATCAAGCTTATCGACCACGGAGATCTGGATCTCCTTATCTATGGAGCTGGCTGCCGGTCAGGTCCATGTCACACGTTTCGGGACGTCGTTTGCCCTAGTCAGGCAGCATGTTTCGGTCAGTTGTCGCTTTTGAGTCGTGGCCGAAAAGATACATCCTACTTCGGCACTTTGTTTACTCCTATGCATTTCTAATCTTTCTGTGGGATATCTATACTGGAAAAGATTACAGTGCTGTTTCAAGTGTGCTTTCTTTTGTTTCTTGAGACGGCTCTACACACAACCTTCTTCGTTGTATGCTTCTTTGAACAGTATGGTATTGCTGCTGCATATCTAAGAAATTAAGCAGCCAGCTCAATATTTCTTGCTAGTTTACGATGCCACCTCTAACACAGGAATGTAAATCTTATTGGTGGAGGGCGAATATCTTGTTGCAAGGGCCACTAAGTTGAGTTTCGATACAGCGACTTGATTCTGGCTGATAAAAGATTTTCAAGAGCCCACACATATACTTTGCCAGTCCCGGCATTCGATGCGGCAGAATAATGTACAAAGTTTCCATTCTCTCCTTGGTCGCATTGCCAGAATTTAGCTTCTTTCCTGGATTCCTGAAAAAACTCGAGTGTCGGCAATGGGCGTATCAATCCATCCCATGGATGCCCCTGATTCCAAGGCCTCAAATCGTTTAAGCATTGTCCAAAAAGAAAAGGATCCTAAAGCACCGAGATATATTCTAAGTCTCTTTTGGTGAGAGTGTCGACCGGCGGCGCACAAGATTATTGGCTCTCTTCTGAAAACTGCGTCGGTATTCTTCTGCCAAAATCTCATACAGTTGTTACACGACTTAGCCCAGTATCGGCATGGCCAGTCGAAAATTGTACTGTACACATGTCGTTCCTCGATACCTCCCTGATAACCTCAAGACGAAATCACTAAAGAATTATGCGCAGAGTGGCGCGTATACAACGTAAAGAAACGATAGACATACTCCTCAAAAAACCTTTCATTAAGGCGCTTGAACCCAAGTATCCCGGAACAAACACAGTATCTAGTCTTGGCGCCAACAATATTCAAGACTGCTCACTGAAAACCCACTTAGTGCTCATAAGCCTGCTCCTGCTCAACCTCACGGAGAATTCTCTCAATGGAATCCACATCCCCATGCATACCAGCTGCCTCGGAAATGGACTCCGCCAATGTGCCCTTTTCAAAGTCGGAGATTGGGCTTCCTGTCTTTGCAACTTTGTACATAGAAGACAAGGTCTTGTCTGCCGAGTCGTTGGTGCTTGTTCTGCTGAAGAACGAGTTTTGACAAGAGCTGGGGGTGGAGGAATTGTTAGCAGAGGACGCCCAGAGCGAGCTGAGCGGCAAGTTGCACACGATGATAATCACACTCAAGTTCAAAAACACCGTGCTTCGGGATCCTGTGTACGACCAGATGACCATGATCGATGGAATGATACATGTCTGTGTGGACATGATAAGCAAGATGTGCATGGCATCGAACTGCTTCAAGCCCAACACTCTTCTTGTTCTCACAGCAATGAGCAACTTGGCCATCAAAAGCACGCATGTGTAGTTGATGGACGCCGCAAACATGATGAACGGAAGGTTGTTTTCCCAGCTCGCGTACTCAGAATACCCGTCGGTGATTCGAGCCTTCACACTCATCAAATTGTGGGTGATGCTGATGATGTAGAGAACCACTACCACCACTGCAAGCGCCGCCGAGACCACCAGAAACACCAAGCCAAAAGAGCGGGCCTTTGCAGACTTGAAGATCACGTGGATCTGGTAGACGAGGATACACTCGATGGAAGCAATCAACAAGACATAAAACGTGTTCACGGCAATGGTCATATGGAAGCTATCCCAGTAGTCGTAGAAAAGACCGGTGTATGTGAAGGACAACGAGTTGAAAGGGCCGAGGAGGTATCCGATATAAAGCCCCGAGCGGATGATGAGCAACAACAAAGACACCTGGTGCAAAATGAACATGGGGGTCTTTTTGTTGACAATTACAAACCACGAGACAAACAAAAGCAAGGCGCCTGCGCCGATGGCGAGACCTTGGGCAAGTGCCATCCGAATACTGTCATGAAGCGAGCTGTCGAGCTGGCCGAAAGAAACTGCAAAAACGGTATCTTGCACGGTGAAATTGAGAAGCACTTCAGCCGGGTCGGTGTCGGAGATCATTTTGAATGGCAAAACAGCACATGGCGCCTAACAGATACGGGTTCTTTTATATTTTGACGAGGTTCTCCGTGGGTGCAAAAGGTGCGTGAGATGCGTTTAAATCACCTGCCCTTTTTGGCAGCCGCAATGGCGACGGGTGGGACGTCTCACCGGCGCACATTGTCGATGAGTTGATTCATGCGCTGCCCGCAGGAAAAAGCTACTCAAAACGCACAAGCGGTTTCGATATGCGCCGAGCCATCGGCACTAGCAGAGCTGCGTTTTGAGTAGCTCTTGGGCTTGAACGGCTTCCACGGCTGTTGTTTGTGAGGGTGGGTTTGGGGATGGTGCCAGGCACGCAGTTTGGGCATCACGTGGGGACGGAATATTTCCCGGTGAAAGACCGTCGAAGTAAGAATAGGGTTTTGCTGAGATGAGAGGAACCAAGATTAGTCTTTTCCAATTCTAGATCGCTGGCACGGCTTGCATCTAATAAGGAAGCCTAATCGGGTAGGAAGAGTGTTTCAGCGGCGGTCACGTGCGCGGGCGCCCGTGTTCCAGCCGGCGCCCTAATTTTCGGTGCAATTAATCCATGTTAAGCCCCGCTGTGAGCTGCGAGCGGAGATGCCGGAAGCTGATAAACACGCCTAATGATGCTGTATGTGTAAGTCTGACTTCTTTTGATGGTGCGAATAGCCTGAAACGACACAATCCCACACACCCAGTCAGGGCATGTTGCTGGGACGGCCTGAAATCCCACTAGCTAATGGAGACAAGAACAATGGTCCACATTGTGGTGAGAATCAGGATCCTTCGCGAAGGTCAGCATTTTGATTTCGGCCTTGTTAGCTCTAGCTTTTGGAAGATTTCATGGGAGCCTTGACTGTGGCGCCAATAATGCTCATGGTACGACAATCACATGTGCCCGACAGTGAGTCGTGGAATGAGAAAATGCCGTTGGTTTGGGGGACACTTAGGCGACGGAATCATAGTATACAAACAAGAAAAAGGCTTAATAGTGACGCTATCAGGGGATAGGTCAAGAGACGAGCTATGATGAAGGCAGAGCGACGATTAGGAGATGGGCTCAGAACACCGGGTTAAGCGGGAAGGCTAAAAATACACAGGCTACGAACAGACGGGGTCAAAGCAGACTGGCTATTAAAGGACTGGTTTTTGGGAGACTGGCTATGGTGAGACTGGCTATGGTGAGACTGGCCATTGAAAGACTGGCCATTGAAAGAAAGGCTATTAACAGACTGGCTATTGAAAGGCTGGCGGTTTATGAGCCTTCTATTGAAGGACTGGCTGTTTATGAGACCGCCTATTGAAGGACTGGCTACTGAAGGACCGGCCGTTGAAACACTGGCTATAGAAATACTGGCTATTGAAACACTGGCTATTGGGGGACCGGCCTCAGCATGCAGGTTATCAGCGTGCGCCGGCCATGACAAAACGCGAGCTCCCATAAACCAGGCAACCAGCAACACAACCCAGTCCAAGTGCAAGTGTAAAACCAAGTCCCCACAACGACCCCAAATCCAGCCCAATCTACAAACGCCACCATCACCCCAAAATGCCAAAATGCCAACAGCCCCAAAATTCCAACAACCCCAAAACGCCAACAGCCCCAAAACGCCAGCAGCTTTCACAAAGCCAACCACCGCAAAAATAGCGGCAGGCGTGCCTGCACACAGGCGCCCGCCCGCCTGGCGTCCCGGCGCGCCACACCCGTGCCTCCCGGCGGTGTTCGTCTCCTCCTCTCGGCGCTTGATCAACACCCCAAGAACAGCTCTCTCCCCTCCCCAGCTCCCGCCCGGCCCCCTCCCCCGCGCCACTCTCGCCACCTCCCCACTGCTGAGCCCGCGCCGATCACACCGGTACCAAAAACGCCCGAAACGCCCCCGGCCTCGCCGCGCCTCGCCCCCTCCTCTTTTGTGATGTCGGACCAAAACGACATCTCCATGTTGGACGTCTCCAACGCCCTCGACAGCATCGGCGCCGAGGCCGCTCCGCCGGCGCCGGCCCGGCGGAAGTCCACGCTCATTCTCACCGACGACGGCGAGCCCGAAAACACAAACACGGGCCGTGCCACGGACCCCGCCCAAAGCGGCGCCATGGCCGCGTCTGCCGCCGAGCCCACGGCGCCACAAACACAGCCGGCGCGCCCGGAGCTGCCGGGCCCGGCGCCCGACGCCAGTGCCACGGTGCCGGTGGACATCTCGTGGCTGCAAGGCGGCGATAAGGTGTACGTGACCGGCTCGTTCACGGGCTGGAGGAAGATGATCGGGTTGCAGAGCCAGCCCGACGGCACGCACGTGGTCACGCTCGGGTTGCCCGTGGGCACGCACCGGTTCCGCTTTGTCATCGACAACGAGTTGCGGTTCTCGGACTTCTTGCCCACGGCCACGGACCAGATGGGCAACTTCGTGAACTACGTGGAGGTCACGCCCGAGCACGTTCAGATGCACATGCGCCAGCAGCGCAGCCTCGAGGAGCAGCAGCAGCAGAAGCAGGCGCGCGAGCAGGCCGCGCAGCAGCTGCGCCAGGGCCTGCGGCAGCGTGCGTTGGCGGGCCGCCCGCGCTCGGACCTGATTTTCAAGTTCATCAGCGACGACGACGACATGGGCAACGGGTACCTGCGCTACTACGACGATGACGCGGACGCTGCGGCCGACCGCCGGTACAACTACATCAGCGACATCCCGCCCATCTTCGTCGAGCCCAAGGTCATGGAGCAGTACTACATGGCCGTGGACGAGCAGGCCAAGGCGCAGAACGGGCAGCAGGCGTGGCTCCACCCGCCGCAGTTGCCGCCGCAGCTCGACCACGTGATCTTGAACAACTTCAACTCCATGGACCGCCACAACAACTCCGGCGCGTTGCCCATCCCGAACCACGTGGTGCTCAACCACTTGGCCACCACCAGCATCAAGCACAACACCTTGGCCGTCGCCTCCGTGGTCCGCTACAAGCACAAGTACGTCACCCAGGTCTTGTACGCGCCGTTGCTGCAGTGAGCGCGCTGCGCAGTAGATCAAGTGTATCTGAGGGTGCGATGAAACCGCGTCTTCGTGGCATACAGCGGGCCGTGTGCCGGCCTGTGCTTGTCTCCCCCGGCTGTCTTTCGGGACCGGCAGGAACAAGCGAAGGATGATTCACCGGTCAATGCTCGTGGGGTGTAGTGGCCAGTATTTCTCGGCCATTTCCAAGCGAGGCACTGGCTGGGATAGAACGCCTGACGGGCCCCGCTTGGCGGCTTTGCGTATTGCATGGGCTTTCTTGCATATTATAGTGACTCCTGCTTCGGCTTGTAAGCTCATTTTCATGGAGACTTTTCTGGTGGTCTTGTAGCCTCAGCACCCGTCTCCGCTTCAAGGCCAGCTGGGGTCACCGCATAGATTGTAAACACGGACAGGATTGTGAAACGTATGAACTTGTATTGATCCTGTGGTACGGTATATTCGCAGATACCCCGGGAGTAGTCCCGCGACGCTGGCAGATGCCATAAACATCCCACGAGTGATCCCAAGGCTAAGAACCTGGGAACAGCAGATTATTTGCTCTTGTTCTGGTCGTATACCTCAGGCTACGCACATGTGTCCGCTTGAACAGCCCGGGTTGCAAAGTCGAGCCAGTCTTCTCCATGGTCTGCGTCCTGGAAAACACCAGTTGTCGCGCTCCCAAGCGGGTTGTTCGGAAGCTTATACATTCTTTTTCGATCAGCTGTGCTGAGCCCAAATGACGTCTTGAACGTGGTTCCCAATATGTTTGTCATGGAGCGACCCAGCTCGTTTTTCACTGGTCGTGCGACAGGACGAGAACAAGTTAATAAAAGGATTTTTCCCGAGTCAAAATTCCTCTGGCAAGAATCAAATTGGCGCATTGCATATATTCTCCAGATTATCTGATGCAATCCGCGGGTTGCATGGGTAAGGTGTAGAACTTATGTCCTCGCGGTATACGCCATGCGTAACACTAGTATTCCAGAATTTGGTAAAAGACAACAGTGACTAGCTAGTTTAAGTCACCATGTGGAATTGGGCAGCGACATACGCTGCTAGCAGGATGGCAGCGTATTGACGCTCCATCTAATTATTACCGCAAGGCGCAAATTGCAAATGCTGCTCGCTAATGCAGAGGTGGATTTGCGCGGGCAGAATGAGCTTCTCACCATCAGCAGTAACATGATTGTCACACTATTCTGCAGTTTTCCAAGCGCCTACAGACCCTAATCGCTGCTTGGCGAATAATGCAATGGAACCCTGTTTCTACGTCGCATCTTCGGACCAAGCACCGCCCGCGCTTGCGCATGCCCCTGCACGTAATACCACGCACGGAAAACAGCGATTGCCTGCAGATGCCGCGCAGAGAACACGGAGGCTGCGCGGTCACGTGCGGCGGGGTCGTGCGGCCGGACCGATGGGCGAGCCCGAGTCAGACCACGCACATCCTCGTCGCACGGAAAGAAATGACCCAGTGCAGTATTCTTTCCTGTGGCCGAGGGAGCCAGCCGTGGACCGGCGGGCACGTGACCTCGGCGCCGGCGCCTGTGTGCACAGGCCGCGTGCAACGCGCCATAAAGACCGCTCTCCCGCACGTTTTGCAACCTGCCCCAAACAGAGCCAGATTTCCCGCCCAATCATGTGGTCCCGTGGGCCTGTCTGTGCAGGCAGCTGCCGGCGGCAGCCCCCAGGCTGCTGCGTACTGGGGCCTCGGCGTTTGGGTCGCTCGGTGCGTGCAGTGTGCACTCCTGCGTTATCCGCTCGTGCGGGGCGTCGGCTGCCAAAGCGTGATAAGGTTTTCTGGGCAGCGATGCCGGGCCAAATAATGCCAAAAGCAACGGGCCTCTGGCAGCAGCCGAAAGCGGCCCGGTGGGCGGAGCAGGCCTCGCATCGCACAGCACTCACCTTTAAAAAGAGCCACCGGTTCCAGGCCAGCGGCGCCAGGCAGGCCCCGCCGGCACAAGTCGCAAAGCCCCGGGCCCTATCCGATGGCCTCGGACGTGCGCATGGGCCCCGACAAATCCCCCACTTTTCGCCAGGCGCACGCGGCAGAAAATTTCCAGGTTCCGCAGACCTCCACGCACTCATCTCTTCCAGCACCTCAGCACCGCCAGCCATGGGAATATCGACGTTTCTCCACGACAACTTCGTGCCGCACATCCCGAAAACCGAGCACGTGGCCAGCTCCGTGGCCGCAGCCGGCGGCAAGGAGTCGGACTCCAAGAGCCAGACCTCCGTGACGTCCATCGAATCGGCGTCCACGCGAGAAAGCTCCAACCATCTCCAGCGGAAACTCCGAGGCAGGCACGTGCAGCTCTTGGGCATCGGCGCCACGATCGGCTCCGCGTTGTTCGTGGCCATCGGCAAGGCGCTCCAGTACGGCCCGCTCAACTTGTTGTTGGGGTTCGTGGTGTGGTCGTTCCCCATTCTTTTCATCACCGTGTCCACGGCCGAAATGGTGACGTACTTGCCCATCACGTCGCCGTTCGTGCGCATGGCCGGGCGCTGCTGCGACAGCGCGTTGGAGGTCATGACCGCGTGGAACTTCTGGTTCTTGTGCTGCGCGCAGATCCCGTTCGAGGTCATCACCGTCAACTCCATTCTCCACTACTGGCGGGACGACTTTTCCGCGGGCATCCCGTTGGCCGTGCAGGTGGTGTTGTACTTCGTCATCAACGTGTTTGGCGTGGGCATCTATGGCGAGGTCGAGTTCTGGCTCAGCTTGGGCAAGGTGGTGTTGGCCACGGGCTTGATTCTCTTCACCTTCGTCACCATGGTGGGCGGCAACCCGCAGCACGATGCGTTCGGCTTCCGCTACTGGGTGGACCCCGGCGTGATGTACGTGTACTACAGCGAGGGGGCGTTGGGCCGGTTCCAGGGCTTCTTGCAGTGCCTCATCCGGGCCACGTTCACGTTTGCCGGGCCCGAGTACATCTCGTTGGTGGCCAGCGAGACCATCAACCCGCGCAAGACCTTGCCCTCTGCGTACAAGCAGGTGTTCATCCGGTTGACCATTTTCTTTGTGGGCGGGGCCCTTTGCGTGGGCATCCTCGTGCCGTACAACGACCCGATCTTGTTGGAGACCTTGGGCACCACGGCCCCGGGCGCCGGCGGCTCGCCGTACGTGATTGCCATGCAGAACATGGGCATTGCCGTGTTGCCCGACATCGTCAATATCTTGTTGGTGACGGCGGCGTTCTCCGCAGGCAACTCGTACACGTACTGCTCGTCCCGCACCTTGTACGGCTTTGCTCTTGACGGCTACGCGCCCCGGTTCCTCACGGCCACCACGAAAACCGGCATTCCGATGTACTGCGTGTTGTGCTCGTTGGCCTGGGCGCTCATTTCGTTCTTGCAGTTGGGCGAAAGCACGTCCAAGGTGCTCGACTGGATCATCAACTTGATCACCTCGTGCCAGTTGATCAACTTCACCATCTTGTGCTTCGTGTACGTGTTCTTCTACCGTGCCATGAAGGCGCAGGGTATCGACCGGCAGACGCTTCCGTTTGTCGGCTGGTTCCAGCCCTGGCTCGCCATTATCGGCGGGCTGCTGACGTTCATCATGATTTTCGTGGGCACCTACACCATCTTCCTCCCGGGCAACTGGAGCGTGTCGTCCTTCCTCTTTTCGTACGTGATGATTTTCATCGACGTGGCGTTGTTTGTCGGATACAAGGTCGTTGCCCGCACCACGTGGAAGAGGCCCGAAGACGTGGACTTGGTCACGGGGCTCAAGGAGGTCGAGGAGCACGAGGAGCTCTACTACGCGCAGCTCGAGGCCAAGCATAAACTCAACGCCGAGGGCCAAATCAAGCGCAACCTTTTTGAGAGGTTCTGCGTGGTCATCTTCGGCAGCGAGATGCGCTAGAGCGGCCCTGTCCGTGTTTGACGAGCCCAGTAGACATTTCTGTGGACGGCGCGTCCGTGGCTGCCCGCCCCGCGTATCCAATGGTTCTTCTCCTGCCTCACTGGACGGCTTCTGGAGACAGCTGTATTTATCTTTCATTTCTCAGAGGGCCTGCGGACAGCAAGGCCCGAAATAGAGACTTTCCATCCGACAACTGCTTGTGTTCTAGGCCCGTAGGATTGTGCCACGTGGCTGCAAGGTGGCGTGGTGCCCAACCGTATCGAGAAGTAGATGCCATTCCTGGCCACGGGTCTGGGGCCTGGCTGTGGCCGAGAGGCCCTGGGGTTTCCTGTTTGGGAAAGGGCCCCAGGCTGTGCACGTGCCTACCGTTCTATCCGTTGAAATGCAACCACACCCGGATCCAGAAACACAAGATTCCTTTGGGTTTGCAACCGGGCCGGGCGGTCGTGGCCGGTTCAATTCCGGCGCCATGCCATTCCAACCACGGCCCACCTAGCTGTTTCCGGAAACCAGGACAACCCTGGGCCACGACTTGGTCAGTCCCGGAGACAGCGTTGCCAGTCCAGGACAACATTGCCAGTCCAGGACACAAGATAGCAGCCGCGCTATAGGGGTCGTGCACGACCCATAACTCCATCGGCGCAAATGTAATACGCCGCCCGCGGCGCACCGGCGCCGCAGAAATTACCCTGGGCCCAAAACTGACCTGGCCCCAGAACCCGACCGGCCCATCTAAAACAGCCCCATCTAAAACAGCCCCACCTAAAAAGCCCCACCTAAAACAGCCAACCCAGTCAGGCAGCTGCAGAGCACCAGCAGAAATCCCCGCCGCGGTCCAAAAAGACCCCAAAAAGAAAAGCCCGTGGTCACGGCACAAAAAGCAGCGTCCTCGCTGCCCATCTTTTTGTTGTTGTCTGAGCCCCGATTCGCCGCCCGATTGCCCTTGTCATATCGGGCGTGACTGTTCGAGAAGCTGTCACTGGCCCTGCGCGCTCCTCTATAATGGCTCGCCCAAAGGGCCCGCGCCATACGGCGATTCCGCAGACAAGCAAAAAAAAAGATAAAATGAAATATGAATAACAGTCCCGGAAATAGCCTAGATTTCCCCGCACGGTGGCAGTGCCTCGTTTGGCCCGGGGGCTTTTTCTTGTAGCAGGCCTATATCTTCGGGGGCCTTGGTCCGTTTTGGTGCCGGCAAAAAAATCAGCCCGCCCCCAGTAGATTGCCCTGGTATATTGGCCCCGCGCACTCGCACCTCACTCCGCGCCTCGCCCAATACATCGCGATCTGATACTGAAAACACGCACCAGTGCAAAAGCTTGCCCGAAACCAGGCCTCAGTCAGCGGGCTAAAACCAGGTTTTTTGGCGGCCGGCGCCCGATAAGCCAGCGCCGTGACCCCCCGGGCCTGCCAGCGGCAAAGCGCCGGAAACTTCCGCAAACAGCGGCGCCGGTCACGTGCCGCGTTTTCTTGGCTCCGCCTGCCGCCCCGCTCTTTATCGCCCCGTCCTTTCTAACGGCGCCGTTGCTGAGCCAGGCCAGATTTGGGAAGCGCATCGCAGCGAACGACCCGGCACGACGAAAACGGGCCAGGCCACAAACAACTAAAACCCCTCCGCCAACCCGTCCTCCGCCACCAAAAAAAAAACCTGCGCCCCCAAAAAAAAACCCTCCTCCACCGAAAAAACAACCACCCCCAAGAATGGCGCCGTTGTTTCTGTGGCTGGACACGGCGCACGCTTTCCGACTATATGCTCTATACGAGCGCACCGAGGGCGACCAGCTGGCGCTCTTCACCGATCACCAAAACTACGTGCAAAGAGTGCTCGCCGTCACCGCGTCCGTGGCGCTGATTGTCTTCTGCTTGCTGGCCATATATGCCTTCCAGGCCATCGACCCCAAGCGCTTGGTGTTCCGCCACCAGTTGATTGCGTTTTTGATTTTCTTCGACCTCATGAAGGCCACCATTCTCCTCGTGTTCCCGGTGCTGGTGCTCGCAAAATCCTCGCTGTACACCAGCTACCTGTTTTGCCAGGCCGTGGGCTTCTTCACGGCCACGGCCATCGAAGGCGCGGACTTGGCCATCTTGGCGTTTGCCATCCACACGTTCTTGCTCATCTTCAAGCCCGACTTGACGGTCAAAATCAAAGGATCGGTCCACGCGGAAGGCGGCCTTTACAAGTACCGCTACTACATCTACGGGTTCTCGTTTATCATTCCCCTCGCCATGGCCAGCTTCCCTTTTATCGGCGTGGGCTACGACTCCTTTGTGTGCTGGTGCTACTTGCCCCAACAGCCCTACTGGTATAGGGCAGTGTTGAGCTGGGTGCCGCGGTACGTGGTTGTCATTGTGATCTTCACAGTGTACATGCTGATCTACTTCCACGTGATCCGGGAGTTCCGCTCATTGAATGGCGCGTTCGCCACCATGCATCATCAAAGGCTCGCAAGCACCCAGAATACGGGCGGCGACTCCAAGCCTTCCTTCTTCTCTGCGTTCGTCTTCTTTCTCAAGGACGTGCGCATCTTTTTGTTTCCGCAATTCATGGCCCCGGATTCCCGTGACCATGATCGCGCCGTCAATTCGTCGTCCACAGACTCGAACTCACACCTCGAGAGTTCCAACGATGACCGGAAAGAGGATTCCCCTGGCGGGCCCTTGGACTTGGAAAACAACTTTGGCGACTCGGCATTCCACGCCGCAAACCTTGAAAACTTTCAGAAGCGCCAGAAGGTCATTGAGAAACAAATGAAGTCGATCTTCATCTACCCCCTTGCCTACATTTCCATTTGGCTCTTTCCCTTCATCTTGTACTGCACCCAGTTCAACTACGAACAGACTCACGGCCCAGTTGTCTGGCTCAATTACGTCAGCTCGTTCATCCAGCCGTTCATGGGCGTGGTTAACTCCCTCGTCTTTTTCTACCGGGAACAACCATGGAAGTACACAATCATGAGGATTTTCAAGAAAGAGAACGAACGCAAACTCGATCTTGTCTTGGCTCCTGGTGCCAGTATGGGGGACTCTGAATCCATCACCACTTCCGCTCGATTTACGAGAAGCTCTCTAGCACTCAGCATGAATGTCGACTTGCACCAATACTCGCGCTGGAGGCGCATCATGTCCAAATGTCGTCTTCCACTCATGGAACTCCCCACTGAAGAAAACATTTCCCGCTTTCAAGCGGAGCATTTCAAACGAAGAATTCACATGTTGCGTGAAGCCGGGAACAAAGCTAGGGGCACTTCAAACAATGACGATCAAAGAGAAATCGACGATTTGCGGGCCAAACACGATTTTTCTAACTTGCTAGAAGGCGGGGATCTTGAATTGGCACAAAATCTCAACAGGTATTCCCTTAGCATCCAGGAAGATAGCCGGAAACAATCATTGGGCTCTGCGAATCCATCTGGAAAAGAGGGCCGGCGAAGTGTGGCCTCAATTTCAAACAAGTCGGCTCGCTCCCGCCGTGTCTCAGTGTTGGATGGACAGACTCCCATACCAGAGGATGGAGCGTTTGTCAAAGGACTTCAAAAAGCATTGAAGCAGGCACCAAGAAGGTCTACCCAGACAAATGACTCTGCGGGCGAAGACGAAGAGCTTGATCTCCTTGATTTTCTAGGAAGAGGTCCCAAGTGATCAGTGCAGGCTGCTCAATTGCATACGAGGTCCTCACAATACGCCTCCATGACTGCACTATCTTCATCGGTCTCTTCCTGTGAAACTGGCATTAAATTAAGCCACAATCTCATCATAATCATTAATTTCACATCCTTCTCGAAGTATATTCACACCATAGCGCCCAAGAAACCATCTGTAAAAGCCATCCTGAAACCAACACCATATTTCAAGACAGAAATACCACAATATTGCCCATCATGTAGATTCTTAGCCCAGGTTCATTGCGACAGGCTGGAAGAGCTTTCCAGATATATTGCCTCGCGTTTTGAAAGTCCAGATTCACTTACATGACCTGTTGGTATTGCTTCCTCTGCATGGATCAAGACACCCTCTGTCTCAAATCCGACGCCCCGCTTTTCTGGTCCTACAAGCGTGACAATTAAGACATATCCAAACACACAGCCGACAAAAATACTCATCACCTTGGAGTAGTCGTAGGCAGCTTCGCCGGATGTCGTAGTAATTGGGAATTGTTCGCCAAGACTGGACTCAATAGTCGAAGATGCCGATGAAACCATGTTACCCAATTGGTAAGACAATCCCACAACCAAAGATCTGTAAGCTGGTGGCGAAAGCTCGGACAAATGAACGGGAATCACACCCCATGCTCCTTGTACGCCTGCTTGCATAAAGAAGGCGCCTGCGTTGATGGCAGAACTTTTCAAGTACGCCCATGGATAGATCATTGCTCCACCTAGTATGAC